TTCGAAAATCATTTTTCCAAAATGAAAAAAAATGTGTGGAATTATTGTAGTATTTCAGAAAACCTAGAACACCACTGCATCGCATTTTCAGTTCGACGTTTCATGTTTTCATCTCCTCCAATGGAATCATTAATACAATCTGGATATGTATTCTATCATCCTGCATTACAAATTTTGATTTGAGAAGGTTTCGTTTGTTTCAAACATACTGTAGTGTTTGAATGCTTTCATCACATCAACTGAATGCAAATTCAATTCTAAATCATCATGTGGCTAAGAAGGTACTGAACTCATGAATGAACTTTGAGTGTCTGATATTATGATGAGCCCCTCATATGAACTTTTCAAGAAGGGACGGATAATGAAATACGAAATAAATTTTTTTCTTTCAAGTCTGTGCGTTCAAAAATCATTTCAAATATTGAGGTACGTGCCCGCTGACAAAATAATGACTTTGTAATACCACAAAATGTTTCTCCCAAATTGGATACTTGAATAGATTTTCTTGTTGATCATATCCATACATAAAATGTCTAACACATCAAAAGATAGAAAAAAGTGATTAGGTTGAAAATGAAGTGTTTACAAATATTTTCAGATCATAAAAATATTCCTCTTTCAATTTATATACCAATACATGATCTAACAGCAGCTGAATTCACCGAATGAATAAGTTCAACGTGAACATAATTTTTGTTAGATTCCTGAAATTACTACTTTCAAGCCATGATTGGAATTGTGACAGTGAGCTATTATCCAGGTTATTCAGTCCTATATAACACCTCAATGGCCCTGAACCAACGAAGGCATAATCAATACGGACTCCTCGTATCTCTAAACATGTAGAAACACGAAGCTAAACCATAAAAAGACTCAGAGTTTCAAGGAAACTTCATTCTAGCCTTTCACATTTTCTACGAATGCATAAATGACTATTTCTGCTTTCTAATTTCATTTGGGAACAACTCCAGCCTACTTTGGGAATTAATATACGACAATCATACTGTACTCATTTTTGCTGTCTGTATTAGTGAATGACCCTATTATGTCGACTGAAATAGTTCCCTCCGCAGGTATTCCACCATCTTCATCAAATCAGCCATGAACTTGCAATTCCCTCTGAACTTACTGAATTACCTTTCAGATGAAATATACACACATCGTAAAAGTTTAGGGATATTTTTATAACATACTAAATATCATAAAAATGAATGCATGAGGTCGTTTAATTTCGATTAAATTGTACACTTGTGGGTTGCCGTGGAGGGTTGAATAGACCCAATCACTTTAGACCTACGTACCTACCTTCCATCTATCTTTATCTCATGTGGAAACCACTATATGCAAAATACTGAGCCATAAATGAAACTGAATTAGATATTTTTTACAATGCACATTTTAGAATATCTGTCAAATTCTTATGAAAATTGATACAATTTTCGTTTTGAGTATTTGATATAGATTAACTTTGACGTAACGCATCGCGTTTACGGGGTTCGATTCTTGGGAGTAGAGGGGCGGTCTGAGCAATGAAGCGCCATCACTGAGAACGCGACCTGAATGCGGGCAGACGCGTGGGGGTAGAAGTCGTTGATGGTTGTGTTGGTTTTACGAATTTTCTTGCAGGTAACATAATTCGATTCTCGAAGTTATTTATTACTCAGTGCAACTGGCATATTTTTTCAGGGACTGTATTTTTGAAGTAAAAATATAAACTACTAGCTCTTGCTCACTCTTATATTAACGTACAACCGAAGCTACTCAACCTAGAATCCTAAAATATGCAGGTAGGTTCTTTGTATAGTATAAATGAGCATCAAAGATTATATTGTATTTCGTCGGTTTTGAAGTTGGAAAACTGAAGTTTTGGGTTAATAAAAACATATTGTAACTATTGGTTCAAAATGGTCTGTCACAAAAGTTAATGTAACAAACTAAATTCTAAGCGGGCGAAGCCACGGGCAACAACTAATAAATAATATCTGAACCAATTGAATATTGTCAAAGTGGATAACATTATCATTTCAATTAAATTTATCCCTCGAAGGATGTATGAAACCATAAAAAGATTAGATTCATGTTTGGCAATCTTTGCTGATAATATCTTGATGTTATGCGTGTTCGCGAACAATTCTCTCTACCGTTTCTTTTTATTCAATCAAAACGTCATAACTTATTTGACAAAAGTTTTTTCGTACCCTTTTTTAATTTCGAATTCGCATTTCTGTAACGTTTGAAAAAGTCAATTGAAAATCAATTCGTTTCATTATTGTCATAAAGTGGTCCGATTGTAGTTCTCAAGTACACTCATTTTGACAGCGTCAAGCAGGCTCTATTTGACGTGATACTATCACATTTAGGACGATGATCTATTTTCTCAGTATGAAACAGAAAATAATTTTCTTTGGGTCAGTGGAGCAATAAGAAAGGTTGGGATGTGAAACGGTTCATATTTTTGTATACTTTAGTCACTTGATTACCGATCATATAATCAATATTCTGGATTCTGTCCTAGGTAACACACACACCAATCGGCAACTAAATCAACGGCTGCGACTACTTTATCAGTAATATAGGTTTTCTGTTGAACTTTTGTGAATATATACAGAATAATTGAAATGTTTCTAATGATTCGTAAAGATCAATGAACGAATAAGAAATACTGTCTGCAAGACAATCAAAACACTCGAAATGCATATTTATCTTCAGTTCCATTCGTAATATCTCCATTTATGTAAATTATAGTTTCAAAGTGCACAATGCAAATATGTGATACGAGGAAGAGGAATAAGAAATCGGTGATGAGTCAATATATAAAGTATATAAATCATATTCTATTTGTTTTCCTACTGATTTGTTTGCTAGTGCTTCATTGTAAATGATCAGGAGATTGGGATGACTTGGTTGGGACCATAGTTTAACAACATAATTCAATGAAACTTCTTTCATTATTATTATTTGTTTATTGATAAATCATCAAATTTCCCGATGAAGACAAAATACAAAAATCATCAAAATTGGTCCAGCCGTTCTTGAGTTCCTTTATTATAATTATTTTTATTTTTCAACTTTTTTTTTTCATATTTACTCATCTTTCAAACTTTTCCTGGACTTCCACAAATTAACCAAATCGGTCCAGCCGTTCTCGAATTTCAGCGGGACTAACGAACAGCAATTCATTTTTATATATTAGAAGATAACTCACAGAGATTGGTCTTGCAGATTTTTCTTGTTCATTCAACAGCAGGATCACGCTGAACTCAGTCAAGTATATTACATACAGATGGTTCCGTGGTATGACTTCTGACCATTGTAGGCAAGAACCAATCTTTGTATGCCTTTGACTCGATTAACTTTAACGCGGCTTGACTGCATGTATGAAATTTCTCTCCAAGAGAAATATAGTTAGCTAGTAACAGCTTCATCTCGTGAATAAAGGACCAAGCGGTCCTTTATTCGTGGTTCATTAGAAAATGAATATTTCGAAATGGAAACATTCATCCTCAGATGGAGCTTCATGATGTTCATATCAGACTTTCTTTGTAATATTGCTCACATATATGAAGTTTTGCTTCTGAGCATAACTTGAGGTTGTTGGATTCTGTTCAGAGAAGAAATGATTTCCAGACTTTAGATGCAAACATCACAAGCAATCTTGAATGACAGGAATATTGAAGGAGCGTGGATGAAGCTTTAGTTATTGATCGATGAATACATTTTCTGAATCTGCTTGACCAACATAACATACCTAATCTTCTCCAGAGAAATATATGTTAGAAATACACGGTTCGAAATGATACAATTGAAACTAATCCTGAAGATTGCATTCATATGGAAAAAGATGTACTTGTGTCGTTCAACGTTTTGTATTTTTAAAGGGTTTTTTAAAGGGTTTTAAAGGGTTTTAAAGGGTTAAAAATACACCCTAACGGGTGTATTTTTAACTTTCTGAATATTAATTAATGAAGTCATTCATTCCATGCCCGTTCAGGCATTCTAGTGATTCAAACTGCCACTACAAATTGAAATCAACTTTTCATTTCACTCATGCTTTGGTAGTTTTGACACAAGATTTTGAAATTTTCTATATGTATAAATGAAATCTTCTGAAATGACTATCCACATCAGCATATTGCACCTTCTATAATCAAAACAAGTACTGTTGATATTTTTGTAATCCACTTGTACTCGTATATATGAAATCGTTATGGGGGTTAACACATCTGGCTATTGCACTCTATTCAACAATTTTTAACATCAAACATCAAGATATGTTGAACGTTGAAAATCGAATTTTCTCCTGTTTTTCCTTGTTTTCAATTATTTTGCAGTTGGCACTGACTGATTTGATGACTGATAAGTGGAATCTGTCACTCACACAACAAGCATTAACACCGAAAACAACCTTCCCTTAAGCAGGTTAACAAACGATCATTCTCATAGGATTATTCACCTGAAACCGAGGCGACAAAACGCAAATGACTGTATATCTAATATATCGTAAGGTACAGCTGACGTACACATGCCTTTATCGGTGACTGGTTTTTATATGTTTTTTCAAAATCACGTATTGTTTCTGAGTTAGATATCAGATCTGCACATTTAGACCTGGATGGCTGCAATTCGCCCAAAAGGATCAGAAGAGCATCTCCTGTCTGGTACTCTGCAAGCCACATATTTGTTTCTCATCTACTAAACGGATGATGTCGCATACTGACACACATACTGGCCGCCGATCAGGTCCTCAACAGTTTGAGGAAAATTTACTATGGTTTGTCAAGGAACTTCAAGCCATGATAAATAACAAATACTCTCTGTCTGCTCCACCCCAGAGTGGATCGGGTTTTCAGCGTTTGGCAGCCTCCCACTCTCAACAAAATGAAATCACTGATTTCATGAGAAGCTGGATTCATCTGGTTCAATTTGACTCGGTGCGTGTGAAAAACAAGAAACCATCAGGGGTTCACCTGCCTACCTAATGATTTGAATTCTTCAACTCACCTGGTGCCTGTAAATTGATCGTAACATCTCCTAACCAAACTTGACGTGCTTTCATTTCCAAGCAATATGCCCCAATTATCTCCAAAAAGCCATCGTGGATTTGTTTGCTGCACACCACGATTATGCCAATACCTATAAGGTCTGACACAAAGAAAGTAGTACAGAGCAGCTAATAAACTAGCCCCCAAAATCAGTGGAAGCATCGGTGGATTGGTATCTGTAAAAAAGTTATGATCAGCTCAGTAATGGGTTTAGAATACGAGAATTGAAGCAACTTGCTCGAGAACTATTTTTTCAATACGCTTTTATCAGCGTCATCTGTATGTATGTTTGTGTGCATGTTTGTTTGTTTGTTTGCTTGTAACTCTCAAGCTCGGGATCTGTATTTGACAGAATTATCGGCAGTATTACTTGATCTATTCGCAGGCAGATGGTGCTGTAAGAAATCTCCTTGATATATCGATATTATTGCTTGATCTATTCGCGAGCAGATGGCGCTGTACTTAACCTACTTGATATAATTCGAACTCACTTCACATGTATTTCTTCACCTGAAAAAAGTATTTTTTTCATCAACACGCACGCCTGCTGCCTTATTCGTAACCCTCCTTTGCGCGCCTGCTGCCTTGAGCTTGGTAGCTGATTTTCAGGATGCCTCTCCGGAATCGGAAAATATCAATGGTCATTTTTCTAAACAATATACGGCTGATTGATCCCAAAGTTCAGATAAAATGAATATAGTTCAAAAAGACTAAAAAACACGATTTTGTAGCAAATGTAACTGAAAAATGAAAAATAAATATAGTTTGAAAAACTAAAAAACTTGCTTTTAAAGAACATCGAACTGAAAAGTGTAAAAGAACTAAAAACGTGTTTTTTAGTTTTTCAAACTATATTTATCCTAATGAATAATTCATTTTCAAAATACGTTTCTCAGTCTATTCAACTAACAGAGTGGTGTATCAAACACTTTGATATATGTGTAAGAGAGGAAAATATTGCTGGTCACTCTACATTCAGTCTTACTTCTTTTTTTTATATTTAGTCATCAACACTGGCGGCAAAAATATCTTAAATTCATATACATTCATCATTTCCTTACTCTTTTCGGACATTGTACTTTCTGCCCAGTCGCAAAAGCCAGTCAATTTGTCACCGAGAAGTCTGGAACACTCGTTATCTTGGCCGACTACCCGATACCTTTTCGAACCTCAAAAAGTTTTTTTTCTCTCTGAAACTCATACATCTAACGAATAAATGCGAAAGTCACTCACTTAACACACATTCATCTGTTTCTCTGTACTGGTAAGTCCTAGGAAGCTAAAATTTGGTATATCGGTGCTTCTTAAGTCTTAAATGAGCACTAAGAAATGATTTTCAAATATTTCTATTGGACTACCCCGTGGGGATGAAAGGGGCGCGTGTACATATGAAAATTACCTTTCATCACTGTTTCTCCGTACCGCTATATCATTGAAGGCTGAAAGTTTGTATATGAATTCCTTTTATTTGTAGATGTGTAAATAAGAGAGGATTTTCGAATTTTGCAACTGGGGCACCAGCCGCGTGGGGAAAACGCGTTGATAAAATAAACTTTCTTTTTCATTACTGTTTCTTCGTACCGCTATATTTTCGGAGGCTGAAATTTTGTATATAGGTTAGTTTTATGTTGTAGATGTGCAATGGGAAAGGATTTTTTAATATTCCAATTAGGGCGCCAGCCGCAGGAGAAAAAGGAGCGTTCATAAAATAAGGTTACCTATTCATCACTGTTTCTTCATGCCATTGAATTTTCAGTGGGAGGTTTATATTTGGTATCAGCATTGCACCCGTGTGGAGTCGGGGCGGGTCACTGGTCTGTCATATAAAAAATGTCTACCGCTATTTCCTTACGTTACAAAACGATTCAGCATACGGTCCACTTGCTCCTAGAAAATGAGAGAGCGACTGAAACTACCGAAGCCGGGAAAATTTGAAAACCAGAGTTGATTTTTTCAGCTGGCAAAACCCTAACTCTGTCAAACATTGACAATTGCATTTTCAGGATATCTTTCATATCATAGGTTTCAAAATGTAAGATGCCTACAGATGATCAAATTAGTTTTTGAAAATCATTTTTTTCGTGAGATGATCACAAAAAAAGCATGAAACATTGAATATATGTATTGTTTTCATGACGGAAATATGTGGTAAATATTTAACATCAAAAATATATCTAATATCAGATGAAAACACGTTAAAAAAACAATTGAAATATCTATTTCGGCTGATGAATTGAGAATGTTATAAAGACTTAGATTTTACGAATTATCACTAATGAAACATTAACAAATATTTGAAGGTTAACGTTACTACTAATACTACAGAATGAAAATATGTTACGTACATATCAGAGAAATATTTTCAAGAAAGCAAAGGTGACCAATTATTTTGATTCTTCATGAAACGACGGATGAATAGTTATTATGAATTACTTCGCAAAATTGCATGCGGCAATTACATTCAAAATAAAGTTCAATAACTCTAAACCTTTTTGTTACTGAGTACTTTTTAATTGCTTGATTTGGGAGGTTATGTAGTAATTTTCCAAAAACTTCATCAATATTCATAAAACAGAAAATACTCAAAACATTTAGATTGAATATCGTTCAAAATCAATGAAACTTCAATGCATTTCAGAGTTCAATGAATAAAAAACAGAAAACTCTTTTCGAGATCATTTCACTCTTTCAGAGGTTTCAAGGTTCAGCAACAATTTTAAGGTAAAATAAACTTGATGTTATCATGTGTTATTGATGGATGTTCTTTTCCTGCTAGCTTATGAAGATTTTCCGATGACACACTCTGTATCGGGTAAGTCACATTATTCATTAAACCAGCTTTATATTGTTCTTATTTATTACTAGAACTAATTTGATGGGGCGTATGAATTTAACATGTTATTGACAAATTGAAGTTACCTGTAGTCACTCACTATAATGTTTATATGTTGTGATGCTTGTTTCATTTATTTATATATCAAATCAACTGAGCGTGAAGTACCGCAGTGTGATATGGACCCAGTCAGATAACGGAGTCTCAGTATGGCGCAGATAACATATTAAACGCAATCTCACAATGACCTTCATCATCATCGTGTCGATAAATAGATACTTTTAACGCTTGAGGACCACACAGAATCAGATCTTCATACCTGGAATATTAACGAAAAAGCAAAACAATTCTGCTGTATTACTAGCAGCACAAATTCTAATTGAACTATTAGTGAAGCAATTAGTAGGTATGTAATTCGAAGGTTATCAAATACCAATATTGAACTAGTTTCTTACAATCGTTGGTTGCGGTCTCATGGTCGTTATTATACAGTGTGTATCATCCAAAAACAATTAATTCAAAAATACATAATTGGGGGGCATATTCAAACAAAAGCTTGGATAGGGTTGGTATTTTCAGTTGCACATTTTTCGAACAAATTTAACTTTTTTACAGTTTGACAGTGGCTAATACCAACTTTCATATTCTGAATGCAACACCTTTTATTTCAATATTCAGATTCTTCAGAAGATTCTAGACAATGACACGGGTATATTTCTAGGAGTGATTAATTTTTAGGATGGAAAAGTTTTAGCAATTCTCCATCTTTAAACAAAAAAAGTGGGAATCTTGCAATAAAAGAAAGAAAGCAATCAATTTCAAAATACTGGAAGTGAAAGACCACTCGAAACGAAACAGAATTACAAGAAAGAAATATTACTTTCGAAACAACTACTTGTATATTGAATTGACATCGACAAGAACATCTTTTCTATTCAATTTGTATTACAAACATTTATTATGGAACTAGATAATCAGATATCCTTCACACAAAACGCCAATACTTCACTTCAAGTAACTTGACAGTTAGATGTATTGAAATGATGGTCCAACTCTGCTGTACTTTAAACAACAAACAATACCAATTCATTTTGTACTTCTCCCAAAATCGGTCATACTGCTTCACATTAGGCCATACTGCTTCCAGAAATCCAACCAACATCAATCGACTAAGAGAGGAATCATCAAGACTCTACTAGACCGTGCTTTCGAACTCTGTAACACAAAGGAAGGTCTCGAAAAAGAAATAGGCATCATCAAAAAGGATGCCTATTTCAAAAATGACCAATAACGATCCATAGTCGAGTCAAGTATCGTCGAAGGTTTGTGTTGTAAATTTCATGAAGAAGCAGACAGTAAAATTGTTTTCTTTGCTTGTAGCATTATTGATCAGTCTAATATTGTTATTAGAGATTCAGACACTGATATTTTATTAATCATACTGGGCAATATGGTTAACTTGAAAAATATTTCCTCTCATATTTGGATGATAACCGGGACAGGTAACAACGGAAGGTTTATTGATGTTAGTAAAATATATACACAACTTGGTCCACTTCTAGCTGAAAGCTTAATTGGTTTCCACGCTTTCACTGGTTGTGATTTCAATCCTGATTTTTTACAATCGGGGCAAAAATCCTTTGACTTTAATGAAAAATAACATTGAATTTCAAAAAAGCATTTGCTGCTTTCGGTGACATTAGCCTGACTGAGAATACTTTACGTGAACTGTTTAATGTTATCTAGAAGTACAACACTTGTAGTATGTACAATGATAATAAATCCATCGATGTTAATAAGTGGAGATTTAAGCTGTCCTTCAATTCCTACAAAGCTGCAGATATGAATGAAAATTTCAATAAAAAAGTCCAGAGCTGGATCCCTCCATGTAAATCTGTACTGTACCAACAAGTAAGGATGCATTATATATCAAGCATTTTGAAAAATGCTCATGCGAAAGAGCCCACATCACTGAGCCCCCTGGAATATGGCTGGATGGAGATGGAAAACCGTTACGTGTTTAAGTGGTTCGAACGAGACCAACTTCCTTGCTTTCTAAGCGACTTGATTCTGAAACCTTAAGGTAATGCCAGCATTGAAACATTCATTTTAATTATCATAAGCTTAGTCGAAACGAAAATTTTTATTTTATTTTTACAGAATCTGACTTGGAGACGATTCCGAAGATGAAAATTGATTATAAAATATTTCATCATTATTTTATCACTATAAATCATTTTCAAAAATATGACCCGTTTTCTACCCCGAAGGGAGGGAAACGAGTATTTCAGGCCTTGCCGAGGCTTGACCTTTCGGAGATTACCTTTCGCTCCTACCATGTGAGTTTGCTTGATTCGCGAGGATCTACCTAGTCTGTAACTGCTTTGTGCGGCGCAGGGCGCGCGACACGAGAGGTGAGGGGACCGGCTGGCAGCGCGGAGTCGAACCGCGCGCTCGGTTGTCAGTACCTTCCGAATGACGGCAAGAGCCTCACTCAGGTCAAGCCTCGGCAAGGCCTGAAATACTCGTTTTCCTCCCTTCGGGGTAGAAAACGGGTCATATTTCAGTCATGTGCCTTCGGCTTGACCTTTCGGAGAGGTGTCTATTGTCTGCCGGAACCTCAAGAGCGTACTGTGACTTTAAGGAAAATTAAATGAAAATGCACATAATTAGGCTTGAAAACAGAACAACTTTTTTTAAATCTTCTTATATTTCTTAACTAATCAGTATAACTTTCTTCTTTAATAAGACCAAAATGAATCTAACACAATTTGCATTCTTCTTATGACAAACAAATGAAATACAATCAACGTAAAATTCCTCATAGAAACTAATAATTTCAATATGAGATCTATCAAATACACTTAATTATTTATAATTATGAAATAAAAAATTAGCTTGGAGTCAAGCTATAGGTAGAAAAGATTCAGTCATAGGGTTTTTTCTACCCACCTCTACTTTGGTTAAAGACTTATAATAATGTTTAAAGAAATTTTGGGAACTTTTCCAGTTACCCCTCTGTAAAAGAGAATCCAACGACATGTTGTGATCAAAATTATAAGTAGCTACTGCTGACCTACACGAACCCGGACTCGCATCAATACCTGAGCTGGTAAAAATTGTTTTAATCCAACCCGCAATGGTGGCACGAGAGGCTGCTTTAACTTTGCCTCTGGTTGAAATGAAGAGACTATCTAACGAGGGAACTGCCTTTCTTCTGTGTTCGAATACTTGTATGAGACACTTCACCCATCTAACTAAGTCCAACTCCTGATCATCCGACCTTATCAGTTTCCAACCAGATTGCCGGGTTTTAGCGCTTTCCGTCTTCGATCCAAATTTTGGCCATAGGACAATGAAATCCTCTTCCACGGAAATATTGTCTGGGCTTATCGATAACAGAGTCAAATCATGTATCCTTCTGCCAAAAGCCAGTAGAAGTGAAATTGCAGTAAATCTAGATACCTGATATATACTTTCTGAGTCAGGAGGGTTTTCTTTCAGCCATTCGATTAATACTTCAACATTCCATATTGATCTAGGCTGCTCTTTCTTGGCATGCTGCACACTTATAGCTTTAAGTATCGATTTAACCAGAGGATTAGCTGAAAGAAAATTGGTCCTTGATGGAGAAGCCAGGGATACTACGATGGACTTATGAGTGAGAATTGTTCTGTATGCTAAACGTTTTTCGTGGAACAGAAAACTTATATAGGAAACCAGATTATGGGGATCGGGCGAATTCGCGCTGACTTTATTTTTATTACACCAGTCCAACCAGCATTTCCATGACGAAGAGTATGTGGCCCAGGTAGAGCTCCTCCAAGACGAGTGCAATAAATCGATGGTTCTCATGTCAAGACCCGCAACTAGACTGCTTCACCCTGTATTCTCCAGACCCCCAAAAACATTTCTTGTATGTTGGATGGGAGTAGGCCCGTCGTTATATCCACGAGATGACGACTCAAGTTCCCATCTCGGAACGACCATTAGAAACGTTCCCGTTGCGAAATCGAGATGTAGCACTTTTGGGATCAGAGGGGGTGATGGAAATATTCACGCCAACTCCTCTTTCCAAATTCGGCTGAATGCGTTCACATATAGTGCATTCGAGTCCAACGCATCTATGGAAACATACATAGGGACTACTTTGTATTTCTCTGACGCAGAAAGATCTATTTTTGGAGTGCCCCACTTCGAAAATATCAGATCCGTTATTGACGTTTTCAGATGCCAATCTGGGAGGGGAAGATTCCTGGATAGCCTGTCTGCGACTGAGTTGTACACTCCCAGTAAGTAAAACGCGGTCAGCTGAATTTGATATTTCTGTGCCAAGTACAAGAGGTTATTTGTCAACGACAACAGGATTTGGGATTTGGTGCCTCCTTATTTCCGAATGTATGCTACAACTGTCTTGCTGTCTGATTGTACCATGATGCATTGATTTCTTAACTCTATTTTGAACATCTGTAAATCTTTTGAAACAGTGAACAACTCTTTGCGATTTATATGCCAATCTCTCTGATTTGGCGACCATACACCCGCGTGCACCTCTTGATTTAGCTGAAAACTCCAGCGCGTGTCGGCCACGTCGGTTGAAAGAAAGAACTTCGGACTCTGATCGAAGATGCGCCTGTCTTTCCGGATATTGGACACCCACCAATGGCAGTCTTCTAGCGCCTGACTCGAGAGTGATATTGATTGCTTGGGGTAGTCTTCTTTCAGTAGACGAGCAGCAATTTGGAGCTGGCGCGTGTGAAGCCGTCCGAAAGGGTTCACTATTGACGCGAAGTTCAGCCTCCCAAGAAGAGAAGTGCCTTTCAACCAGTTCCACCTTCCTGTGCTGCAGATCGGATGCAAATCGTGGCATATACGATTTATTTTCTTTTCTGGTAAGCTCATCCTGTTTAGTTTTGGGTCCCAAATAATTTCCAGAAATTCCAATGTCTGCGTTGGGGTTGTTGAACACTTTCCGGTATTTATTGCCCAGCCTAAATTGAGCAACAGGTCTACGGCATCGTTTGCGTGCTTTCTCAGTATCTCCGGGTCCTTGTTTGCCAAGAGAATGTCGTCGAGATATACTAATACCCTCATGCCTCGACTTCTTAAGACACTTGCAACCCAATTGCTCAACCCGGCGAATACCAGCGGGGCACTTGATAGACCAAAGGGTAGACAAGTCATCTTGTAAACTCGACCCCGGAAAGCAAGGC